CTATATATATATCATATTATCTATATATGAAAAAGTGTATTTTGCTTCTTAACATGTAAATACATTGGAATTAAGTGGCATGCTCGTAAATCATCCTTTTATATTTGAGAAAACGCAAGGAAACTGAATCCAGCTCGTTTCCATGGATATTCTGTGTTCTCTGTCCCTCACATTCCTCTCTCCAGCACCTGATCTCAGTCTTCTCCGTTCTTTTTCTTCTCATTCTCTTCCCTTCCCAAAGCGCTCGCTTAAGTGGACGAAGAAGCTTCGTGCGTTCTCCTCCGCTTCGCCTCCCTCGCCGCTCCCGACGCCCGATGTCGTTGTCACCAGAGAGCAGGGGAAGAATGCAAAGCTTATTGATGCTCTAGTAATCTTTTTACCTTTCATTTGTTTTCTATTTAAATTTATAAGAATTGGAAATAAAGAGGTGACTGGGTTTTCTGTTCTGTTACTTGCCTTCGAATTCGGCTTTGTTTTGGAATGAGTTTTTCTCGACAGATTCTAATAGTGCTTGATGCGCTATTGTGATTCCATTGATGTAAAACTTGGATATTTTACTCATTGGATTATTCCGATACGTTACTTCTTAGTGGCTTCCCGATTTTAAGCTTGTTCAGTTGCATTCAATTTGAACTACTGCTTCACCACGGTCCTGATAAGTTTCTGGAAACGTATAGCATTAGAAGAAGGAAAGCCATATTTCCACAACAACTCTTAGTTGATTTTACCCGCATATTCATTAATGTCACTTGCATCTTCAATCTGGAGAACTCCAAACAGTATTGAGATTATGTTAAAAAGTGTGAACTAGTTTATGTTATTGTTTTTTTTTGCACCAAAGTCCTTATTTTATCAACAGGATGGAATAGAAGGAAGACAATGAAAATGGGTTTACACTTTTTAGTTTATTAAAATGATGAATGCTACATTATTCTTCATTAACATTCTTCATTTAACATTCATCATTTGGGCAGTAAATTAAGTTATAAGTGATGCAGATTGTTTGTTAGGCTGGAGGAGGGATTGGAGCAACTTCTAGTGGATAGAATCCCCAATTCTAGATGAAGTTAACTTTTGAATTATATATATCTGCATACTCTATGTTGACGGTATATTTCACAGCTGGTGATAATAGTATAGTTTGATGTTGTAGTTTAAATGCAAGCAATGAATTTAGTATAACTTATCATGCCATGCTCTCACACGGGAAGTTTTACCTGGTGTTTTTTTTTTTATAACTTTTTTTTTCTTTTTTTGAATAAAAGGTGATTCTCTTGGTTCTCTAGGCTCTTTCCTAATATCTTAATAAAACTATAGGGGAAGCTTAACATCCATTGTCTCGAAGTTCCACTTGTTAAGCACACACAAGGGCCTGACTTGAATAAGCTTTCATCTTTATTGAAGGGTATGTAGTTGAACTTTAGAATATTCATGTTGTGCTTTTATTTGTCTATTATGCTATATTATCTTCTGCTGTGATATCAACTTTTCTTCCTATGTCCTCCAGCGCACATCCTTGATTGATATAGTTCTTTCTAGTCATGGTTCATAGGAATTTTTGTGAAAAATAATCTGGAATTATGTGACAATTTTGAATCACATGTGGCTCTATGTATTGACACATTTTTTATTTATGTTTGGAGTATCATATCATGTGTGTGACTCCTATTTGTGTGCTACTTCTACCTTTTCCTTCTTAGATCAAAAGACTCCTCTCAGTTTTCTTGGTGCAAGATCCCTCAAATGGTACATGCTTTAATGAGAATCTATTCCTTCAATATGTTTGATGTGTTGTGCAAACAATTTGGAAAACAAAATCACACAACAAGCAAAATAATTTAACACTGTGTGTTTTATATGGTTCGACACAAATTCACCTATGTCCACGGGGAGCAGTTATCCACTGTCAACAGTTGGGGATAGAGGAAAAGAATGGCCGGTATATGCTTACAACTCCACACATAAAAATCAACCATAGTCACTTCTATAAATAAGAGAGGATTAGAACATGCAAATTATGAATTTTTTCAATATAGAGAAGATCATGTAGTTAGATCACCTCTAATTAAGTTACCTAATATCAATATTTCTAATATATACACTTCATAATATACAATAATTAGAGTTAATACTTTTCTTGATAATCCCCACCACTTCTCTCACTTTTAGATAAATGGGAGATGACGAAAATGAGCTTCAACAGCGAAATGACTGTACTAAGATAATTGTTTATGTATCATCCCTTTCGAAGGAATCAAGTCTCATATAGTTTTTCAAAATGCCAGAATGGACAATCAATCATTAGCTCAGATGTTCACCAAACTCCTACAGTTGATGAATAATTTCTAGACTGGTAGTACTTTTGTGAGCAAGTATGCTGGATTCCTTTTTGACATCTTTCTTCTTCAACAAAATATTGCCATCATCAATCAAATCCCGAATAAAATGATACATTTCATCAATGTGCTTGGTATGAGAATGATGAACTGGATTTGTAGTCAAGAATATCATACTTTGGCTATCATAAATAGTGTTAGAGACTCCGGATCAACTTCCTAGTCATTCAGTAGGCCCCGCATCCATATCACTTTCTTCACCACCTTCATGACTGTCATTCACTCAACCTCTGTAGTAGAAAAAACAACAATCGATTGAATAACCGATCTCCAATTGACTAGATCTCCATCTAATGTGAATAAATAACCAGCCGTATATCTACACTTATACATATCACGTGCATAATTTGAATCAGTGTAGCCTACTAACAAATCATCAATAGATGTCTGCCTTTCAAACACCAAGCTGATATGAACTCTACTCTCCATATACTTTAAAATTATCTTCACAGTTTGTTAATGACTCCTTCCCGGATCATACATGAACCTGCTCACAATATCAAATGCTTGTGCAATGTCTGTTCATTTCAAGTCATGACATACATCAGACTGTCTATTGCACTAGCGTAAGGAATCAATTTGTATCTTTTCTCTCTTGATCATCTTTAGGAAATTGATTTGAACTCAACTGGAAATGAGATGTAATGGGTAAACTCAGCATCTTGCTTGAGTCATCAACCCTAATTTTTTTAGCACCTTTCGAACATATGCTTTTTGTGAGAGCCAAACTTTTTCAATTACCTTGTCCCTAAAAATTTTAATGTAAAGAATTTTACAAGCTTCGTCTTACTCTTTTATCTTGAAATGTTTGGACAGTTGCTTTATTCTATCAACCTTAGTCTGACTGACAAATGCATTCATTATGTTGTCAACATATAGAAGCAAATGAATGAACTCAACATTGAGCAACTTCTTAAAATATGTATAATAATTGTATTGGCTTCTTGTGTATTCTTATTCTATCTTGAACTGTTTAAACTTCTTGTATCACTATTGTGGTGACTGTTTAATTTTAAAGATTTGTCCACATTACAAACCAAGTCTTTTGAGGTTCCATATTCAGATGACTGTAACATATTGATCTCCTTTTATAATTATCCATATAGGAACACAATCTTTATATCAAGTTGCTCCAAAATGAGATCGTATTGTACTACAAGTGCTAAGGGAATACTGATCAATGAATGTTTGACCAGTGGGAAGAACACCACGCCATAGTCTGTCCCTTTTCGTTGCGTAAAGTCTTTTGCCACTAACCTAGTCTTGTATCTCAACCCAACTCCATGATATCTTTTTTTCTTTACATACACTCATTTGCACTCAATGACTTTCCTTCTCATGGGAAGCTTCACCAACCTTTATGTAATATTCATGGAAAGCTTCAGTCAGATCACTCATAGTATCATTATGCATCCTGATAAAGATGCTCTATATTAATAGTATTATAATAACTGCACAACTATCAAGCTTCTTGTACGTACAAAAACATTCTCAATGGGGACAATGTGATGAGTAAGACGTGTCTGAAATCTAACAGGAATCATCTGTATATAAATTGTGAGAAACTATAGATAATGACACATCTGAATTTGCCTCGTCACACTTCTCCATAATAAAATTAACTTTTGTCTTGGAAGAAACTCTATTTAGCTTTTTTCCTTAACTTCGAGCAATCTTCCAGTAACCAATATTTAAACATAAAACATATTGATTTTTTCCAAACTTGCGCCCACATGGCTTGTTCTTGCTTTGGAGAAGTATCGTTACTGCTACCTTTCTTTGCCTAATTATTTTTCTCAAATCTCTCACATTGGAGTGTAAGTACCTCAACCGACTCCATCTTTTGGGACTCTATGCCCCTTTGACGGAACTCGCGGTTCAACAACGCCATAATTCAATATCTCCTTCTTATGAATAAGTATTATCGTGAAATTTTTGTACTCATAAGGTAGAAAATTCAACTAAAGAAGTGTCTTGTCTTTATCTCCAATCTTCTAATCCATATTTAACAATCTGTCAAAATTTTCGTAAAATCATTCAAGTTCTCATCAATAATAAATCCACGTTTCATCTGAAACCTGTAGAGTCGACGCTTCATATGGAGAAAACTTTCTCCACAATTTTTATCTCCAATCTTCTAATCCATATTTAAATGCTCTTCGTGAGATATTCGTTCTCCAACTTTCTCCACAATTTTTTTTTAGAAGTTTTCATAATCACCCCATATTTGATTTCTTGAGATAAGTAATTTCGGATCAAGCCATAAGAATTCTAGTTCATTTTTAACCAATCTTTTTCTAACATCTCTTTAGGGTGTTCATCGCTATCAAGAACATTATTTAGATTCAAAGAGCACAACAAATTGATCACCTTGCATAGCCTCATGCCAAAGTTTATTGTCATCAAATCTCGTTACATTGATCTTGACGATATGTGTAATTACCTAATAAATTGATGCCTTTTTCATCGTCGTGGTGGATGTTGAAGTACCTGACAATATGCTATTATCCATTACTCTACCAGATATGGTAACTTAACTTGCTCCGATGTCTTTGCCTTGTGTCAGCGATTTTGCCGGAATCGAAACCGCGTGTTGCCAGAATCACACCAATCTATCTCTGATACCAAATTGTTTTGCAATATAATGTGGAAAACAAAATCACTCAACAATAAAATAATCAAATACTGTGTGATTTATGCGGTTCAACACAAATCCACCTGCGTCCACAGGAAGGGTTGTTCCACTATTAGCAATTGGGTAGATAGTGGAAAAAACAACTGAAATAGTTTTACAATTCCTCACAAAAAAATTAGTACTAATCCCTTTTATAAATAAGAGAGGATTATGACATATAAATTAGAGATATTTATGATATAGAAAAGATCATGCAATTAAATCTCTTCTAATTTGATTATCTAATATCAATCTTTCTAATATACATTCATTAGATTTAATACTTTCCATAATGTGATGATTTTTTCAATGTTTCTTCTTGAGGCTGACTCAAGCCAAATTGAATTTATTTATTGCATGCTTATAGTTAAGTCTAGGCTACAAACATGGTATTAGGGTATAAAGTTCGTCTTCACATGCTTGTATCACTACATGTATTATATGTTTCTGCTTATCTGAATGTTTATTTTAATGAAATTGAACCATACTTTGGTATAGAAGACCGCCTGAGTATCTCTACTTCTAAAAGATCATTTTATGAGTACTATGAGATATGATTTGTCTAGTTTCTTGTGAAAACTTAATGGAATTATTCATTTTTCATGTTTATTTTTGTAGATTTTATGTTTGATTGGATTGTCATAACCTCTCCAGAAGCAGGTGTGGTCTTCCTTGAAGCATGGATGTAAGCATCTCTTTAGCTCATTATTATTTAACTTCTAATATTTGTATTATGTTAATTTTTCTAGTAGATTTCCGTCATAATTTTTAATAAAAATAAGGAATTCATTCCAAATTTTGTTTTGCTTTCAAAAGTTAATCTTTGAAAAATAATGTGCCTTTTAATTTGTTTGATTGTAAACTTCATATATGAACTCATCATTATCATGATTAGCCTTATCCAAGCTACTTTTGGTGGGCATTATGAGAGCTTTCTTTGCCTAAATTTAAGTTTGACATGGAATATTTCTTTTGTACATGACATGATACGTCAATTTTTTTTTAATGATTTCTAGTTTATTAGCTACAAATACATCATCCAGAGTCCGTAACTTATCTTTGTAGTCGTTTTATTCTTCATCCTCGTTTGAATTTCTTCATTTTAGGCCGTTTAAGCTTGGCTTCATCCAGATTGTACACCCAAGGGCATCTAGGTCGAGTTCAACCAAGATGCCAGTCACTTGAACCAAATCCCTTGAACGCTTGATGTTGTCCAAAGAAGCGTTAATTAAAGTAGCCTAAATTGAACTTACCACAAAGATGAAATTTCTTGTAGAAGTGATTCACTCATTGATGAATTTGGCAATCAAAGTCTTTAAGGCAACTCACCCACTCAAAATGAACTTGCTATTGAACTTGCCAATGAACCGGCTATTGATCATAACCACTAATCTCCTCAAGGGTTTTCTATATGGAACTCGTAGAGTTCTGCAGAGGAAGTTTCTCACCCTCAATATTGGGATTTATCTAGAGATTATCTAGAAAACTTAAGATTTTTTTACAATAAGTGTTGTTTAGTTGCTCATGAACACACCTTGCTATATAGTTTTACTTATATTATGTAATAATAACTTTTTCTATTATGTTGAACTTTAGTTTAAACCTTTAAAGAGGGTAACACGGGGCGCGTTCTGCCCTCGATGCGACGAAGTCGCGGACGCGACAACAGTAGCGCAAGATCGGTTTGGTCCGGGTCGTCCGGGCCAAGGAGGGGCTGACCAGTTCTGCCAAGCATGGAGTTCCGTTCTATTTAGAGCAGGGCCTATATTACCCTAGGTCTATATATATGTTATTTGTTATGTTTTGGGGTAGTTTTGGATTTAGTTTTTTGTGAGGACGGCCGTCGGCTTCCTGGTATTCTTCTCAAGGGTTGTATCCGATGGCGAGATGATACTCCCATTGTAAGTGGTTTTGAAGTGGTGTTTATCTATCATTCTTGACATCCCCAACCTTCATCTTAGCCTTCCAACCTGCAGTCCTTTGCTGCTGAAC